CTATTTACAAGAAATTTATAACTCACAATCCCTTGGAATAGAATTCACTGCTCAATATAGCATCTGGTCTCTGGCAGGAAGTTTTGCAATAAATCATTAAACAGCACCTATTAAAATTCTCTGACCCAGTTTAAACACACCTCTTCCATGTTGCCTTATCAGTTGGAAATGATTTCCTTTTCCCTTCTTCTGCATTCTTTTAATTGCTATCTTTATTGAAAACTTAGTAGTTTTTCCTAGGTCTTACGTGTAATAACTGGCAAATCTAGAAGCCAATTGTTAAATAATGTTTGCCCAAAATTCATGTCTACTGGACCTCAAAATGTGACCTTATTTGAAAATAGTGTCCTTAAATCAAGTTAAGATAAAGTCTTACTATATTAGAGTGAGCCCCAAATCCAATGATTAGCGTCCTTATGAGGAGAAGAAAATTTGGAAGCAAAGACAGAAGAGGAAAACAGGAAAGAAGGCCATGTAAAGATGGAGGCAGAAATTGGAATTAGGCTGCCACAGCCAAGGAACACCAAGGGTTGCTGGCAACCACCAGAAGCTAGGAAGAGACAAGAAAAGTCTTCCTTAGAACCTTCAGAGGGAGCATGGCCCTGCCATATTAGACTTCCAGCCTCCAGAACTGTGAGAGAATAAGTTGCTGTTGTTTTAAGCCTACCCAGTTTGTGGTCATTTGTTACAGCAGCCCTAGGAAACTATTATACCAGCCTAGGTCTGTCAAGTGCCAAACATCCTCATTCCTAACCACTACGATATGCTGCTTCATGTTTGCAGGGCCTAACCTGTGTCCTTCACAGTACCTTAATTAGATGCCTCAGATTTCACAGTAGGAGGCAGATGGAGCATCTAGAAGTTAGGGGATGAGGGGGGTGGAAGGGTTGGGGAGAAGGTAGAATTTGTAAAGTAGAAATGGGCAGGGCTGATTTCTTGAAAATATGCCCAACCTTTATTCTGGTCTTACCCTAGGATTTAGCAGAGAAACAGAAATGAGTTTGCTTGTAAGAAAGTAGAACACACTAGAGAAAAAGCAAGAACTAAATGTCGGCCTGAACTAGCTCTGCGAGAGGCACATGACATTCAGATAGGGCTGCTCTGACACAGTTTGACTTGGGAACCTTGAGACATGGCCTCAAAAACAAACTTTAAACTTTCAGTTGTTAAAAATTCCTAAGCTCCTTATTCAGCCACCCTTCATTCCCTAATTCCCATTTTAATACCCGGCAGACACAACTTTTTAGTTGAATAAATGGATAAGGGAATGAATATTGAAGATGGAGGAAGGTTGGAGGTGTCAGAAATGAAATGGTGTTCAGTGACCAGGAAAGTCAGATACATAGTAAGTGTCACAGAAGAAGGCTCAAGAATCAGAGATGTCTGCCACTAACCTTTGGTAGTCAAAAGCCATAACAGAAGCAAATGTGGCAAAATATCAATATTTGTTAAGTCTTGGTAATGAACGTAGAGTGTTTGGAATATTATTCTTTATAGTTTGGTGTTTTTGAAATGTTTCATTTTATTTGTTTATTTTTTATTTTTGTTATCCTCACCTGAGGACATTTTTCCCTTTTTGTTCAGCTAGAGTGGGAGGGAGGGAGAGAGAGAGAAACATCGATGTGAAAGGGACACATTGAGTGGCTGCCTCCCACACGACTCCAACCAAGGTCAGGGTCGAATCGCAACCGAGGTACGTGCCCTTGATCAGAATTGAACCCACAACTCATTGGTCCATGGGCTGACGCTATAACCACGGAGCAAAAGCAGCAGGGCAAAATCTTTCATTAAGAAAAAAAAAAAAAAACCAGCAGCCCTACAGTGTGGCTCAGTGGTTGAGCGTCAACCCATGCACCAAGAGGTCACCTGTTCAATTCCTAGTCAGGGCATATGCCCAGGTTGTGGGCCAAATCTTCTGTGGGGGGCATGCAGGAAGCAGCCAATCGATGTTCTCTCTCATCGATGTTTCTATCTCTCTCTCCCTCTTTCTGTCTCTCTAAAATCAATAAAGAAAAAACAATAAGCCCTGGCCGGTTTGGTTCAGCGGTTAGAGCGTCGGCCTGCGGTCCTGAGAGACCCGGGTTCGGTTCCCGGGCGCGTGCCTTGGTTGCAATTTGTCCCCGGCCCTGGTCAGTTGTGAGGGTGGCAGCCACTCAATGTGTTCCTTTCACATCGATGTTTCTCTCTCTCTCTCTCTGTTCCTCTCTCCCTCCCACTCTACCTGAACAAAAAATGGAAAAATGTCCTCGGGTGAGGATAAAAAAAAGAAAAAACAATAAAAAAGAAAAAAGCACAGCAACATCACAATGGCCGGACCAAAATGGATGTGTCAAATTGGCCTCATTCACATCACTTTGCTTGGATGGGTTTTGAATCCCTTCCTTCAGCAGCAGAATTGGTATAATTATAGCAAAACACAGTTCGCTTCCACACATGCATGGGCCAATTCTTTGGAGGGATCCTATGGAAATATATATGAAAAGACAAAAAATCATCATTTCCTTGAGAGTTTATACTCCTGCTCCTGGGAGTTTATGCGAAGGAAACAATACTTCAAAAGAAAAAAGGATGAGGAATATGTAGGTGAAAAATTAGGGGACAAGTGTTTTATAACCGTGAAAAATTGGGAATAACAAGGTAACCATGAAGGAGTGTTCACCACTGCTCCCACCCTAGTCACATCACCCTCACCTTTGCCTGATCCCTGGGGTAGCCTCCAGCTGGTCTCTGTTTCCTCCCTTACACCTACAGTCTACTACTCTACACTCAGCAGCCACAGTGATCGTGTTTTTGAAAGGAAATGAAATCACTTCCCCACTTCCCACCACCCTCACTGCTACCAACCCTGTTCTGAGCCACCACGTCCTGGGGGGCTGAATTATGGAAATAGCTCCCTAACTGGTCTGCCCTATTCTGTCCTCCTTCCAAGGCAACAGTGAAAGTGCTCCTTTTCAAACTGTAAATCGGACCCTGTCACTCCTGGGCTTAGAACTCTCCAGTGGCTTCTGTCTGCCTCATACGACTCAGAACAATGTCAGAGTAAACTTTTACACCAGCACACAAGGACCTCACATCCTTCCCAGTCACACTGAATCCTTTTCATTGGCTGTTCTCTCCACTCATATGTTCTTTCTCAAATGCCCACATGGCTCATTCCCTCACTTTTTTCAAGGGGTAACTTAAATTTCCCCTTTTCAGAGAGGTCTTCATTAAATTTTACCACTCCATAAAGCCTCATGCTACTTCCGAGTTTTATCGTTTCTCTTAGTATTTATCATCTTCTAACATAGTAAATGATTTACACAGCATTTTGTTGTTGTTGTTGTTGTTAATCCTCACCCAAGGATATTTTTCCACTGATTTTTTTTATAAATAGAGTGGAAGGGAGGGAGGGAGAGAGAGAGAGAGAGAAACATCAATGTGAGAGAGACGCATCTATTAGTTGCCTCTCACATGACCCCAACTGGCCGAGGGATCCAACCTGCAACCCAGGTATATGCCCTTGACTGGGAATCTAAGCCAAGACCTTTTGGTCCACAAGCTGATGCTGTATCCACTGAGCCACATTGGCCAGGGTGATTTTTTAAATGTCTACCTGCCCTGCCCCAAACACACATACACCAAAATTTAAACTCTAGGATGAAAGAGAAATATATCTATTTTGTTCATAGCTGTTTCTGCAAGTACCTAAAACTGCATCTGGCACTTAGATGACATTCAACAAATATTTGTGAAATGAAAGAACATATAGTTAAGTAAATTGATTAATACCAGGATGATGGAAGATTAAGCCATCAGAAAAAATACTCTGTATCAATATGGAAAAGGACTTGACATGATGTTAGTGTTAAAAGCAGAATCCCTACCCTGGCTGGTTTGGCTCCGTGGTTAGAGCGTTGGACCACGGACCACTGAGTCATGGGGTTCAATTCCAGTCAAGGGAACATACCTCCGTTGCGGTTTGTCCCCAACCCTGGTCCGGTGGTCCTGGAGGCAACCAGTCGATCTCTCTCTCTTCCTCCTTCCCACTCTATCTGATGATAAGTGGGAAAATATCCTCAGGTGAGCTTTCTCTTCCCTTAAAAATTGGGGTTCACAAGTTTGTCTTTAGTTTCTTGACATTTTTATCTACCCTTGTAGCGTCTAATACCCTCCAGTTTATTTGGCATATTGTCCAAACAGTGGTTGGGCCTAGGGCTCTGTTTTCAGCATCTCACCCCCATGATTCATATTGCTTTGTATACACTTCTATTAGTATACTATTCTTGGTATATCTGTCTGTTCCCCGGTCTCCCCTAGTAAATGGGAGAACTCTTACAGGATAAAATGCCCAGGACATATTAGTAACAAATACTTGAGTAATACAAGATAATAAATAATATGTTGAGTGCACACTCTGTGTCGAGGACCTCTAGGAAACTTAACATTTATCATATTAATTCTTACAGCAGTCCAATTGAGGTAGACACAGTTTTATTATATAGATGAAGAAGGAAATGTATTTATAATAAGCAGTAACCAAAAATTATGTAGACGTTAAACTGCGTGTTCAAGTAGTGGGCTTTCAGGTAGTTTTCCTCTTTCAAAAATTTCTTTAGTATTGTAGTTAGGCTGTGTGTTTCCCCATGTGATCAAACGATTTAAAAACTTGAGCGGGCAAACTAGGCAGGAAACTGTAGGGCAGGGTCTGGAAAAAGGAGTGAGCCCAAAGACACAGATGAGCCGAGATCTGACTCCACCGGTAATCAGCCTGCGAAGGCGGGGAGTGCCCCCGGCGCAACAGCCACGGGTCCCACCCCCGGAAACTATTCCTTTCCGGGAGCCCCACAAAAAAGGACCTGAGGCTGTGGGCGGAGCCACTCCTGAAAGGCTCCGGCCAGGGGGCGGGGACAGGATTGGCCCGCGGGCTGGCACTGGTTGGCTGCCGCAGAGAAGAGGCGGGCTCCGCCTGGGGCCCGCCCACGCCGAGGGAAGGCACCTGCGCCGGAGCCTCTCGGAGAGGGAAGGAGCGGAGCGGGGTTCCGAGGGCCGCGGGACACGTCGCTGTGCGTCGTCGTCGCCCGAGAGGCAGGGCAGGAAGCGCTACGGTTTGACCCCCGACACCTTCTGTTTTCGAAGGGGCAGCTCTTCTTCCCGACCCGCCCTGCCTCCCCTCCTTGCCCCTCCTCCCGAGGCTGCAGCCCCAGTTTAGGTGGGGCGGCGCAGCCTAGCTCCCGGACCCGGAAGAAGCGCCATCCCCGCCTCTGCCATGGAGCCCACCGCGCCGTCCCTCACCGAGGAGGACCTGACCGAAGTGAAGAAGGATGTGAGTGGCGCTGTGTGGCCCAGGCGCCCCGCGGGCTGGGGGCGGGCGGGGGTGGGCGGGGGGCGGGCGGGCTTCACGGGCCAGGAAAGCGGAAACCTGGAGTCGGGGTCGGAGGAGGGGCCTGCGCGTGGGAGGAGCGGACAGGGCCTCCGCCAGCTTGCGTCCCTGGGGCCTCGGTGGAAGTGATCCCCGACCACCCGTGCATCCACGTTTTAAATCGCTAAAGGCAGGGTGTCCGGAACCTCCTTCAGTGGAGTGTTTCTTTGGAGTCGGCTTCTTGCCCACTCCTCAATGGTCCCTGGTGATTCAACCCCCTGCGCTTTGAAGCTGCGTTGTTAGGGGTCGACGGCTCACGTTCCTCCTTACGTCGACTGTCCAGGCTGCTGGCTCAACCCGGAGCCAAGGCTGGACCAGATAAAGGATCCCAAGTAGTGGAGCAAATATGTGAAACATCTTTGCAAAGGGGTTTGGGGGAAGCTCAACAGCTGAAAGCACAACCTGGAATTCCCCTAGTAAGCAAACGCCCACATATTTAAATTCAGAGGAGGGGGATGAAGACCTGTAGCAGAGAAGTAATTTGCAAGCAAACGTTGAAAACATTCAGAAGTTTAACTTTGTTTTTCTGTTTGGATGCTGCAGAAAATCTTAATATTTATTCGTAAATAGTGGCTTTGTTGAGATATGACTTCTTTCTCTTTTTTCCTATGCCTTTAGTTGTTTTGCCGTTTGAGACCTATATGAGTGCCTGCCATTAAAATAGTTTATATCAATTCAGATTAAAAACAGAAACTCAACATGAAGTGTGCTCTGGCTTAACAACATAAAGTTTAGAAAATCATATTTGTAAATTGGACAGGACAACAGCTTTTTATTTTTATTTTTTAAAATATGTTTTTATTGATTTTTATAGAGAGGAAGGAGGAGAGAGAGAAACATCCAAATGAGAAACATCTGTGGGCTGCCTCCTGCACGCCCCCTACTGGGGATCAAGCCCGGAACCCTGGGCATGTGCCCTGACCGGGAATCCACCGGGACCTCTTAGTCAATGGAATAACCCTCAATCCACTGAGCCACACCTGCTGGGCAGGACATTAGCTTTATAAAGGTGCATCTACTTCAGATCCCCGCCTTTTCTCTCCTCTGTAAGGTTTATTACATTGTGTTCATGATTACTGTCAGATTCATTAGCAGAAGGAAACTGGACATAATGGGCTTGTGCCTTAGTTTCTTCATTCAGCAGATATTTATGGAATATAGTATATGGGAAGTACTGTTCTTTGGCCTGGATAGGTACAAAAAATAACAGTCAGGCCCTTACTTTACATTGTAGTTGCAATGAGACTGGGACATTGAGAGTTAATATATAATAAATGAGTGCTGTCTTATTCAAGAATGTGTGCCAGTAAAGCCATGAATTCCAAGAGCAAGGCTTGCTATGTTCCAGCTGTTGTGTCATACAATTTACAAAGTTCCCATTGACTCTTTACAACAACCTCTAAGGGAGATAATTTTCATTTCCATTTTACAGCTGATAAAACAGGCAGTGAGACGTTACAAGTGGGCGGATATAAAGCCTGTACACAAACACAGATGTGAAGAGTGGCTTCCAGGCCTTATTTTATTTTATTTTATTTTATTTTATTTTATGAGTTAATTGATATTATCCATCTCCATGAATTTTATTTTATAGCCATATCAGAAATTCATAACCTTAGGGAATCATGGACAGGCTTAAGGAGGTCTATGGGAAAAAAGTTTGTGTACATATTTTCTTTAGACACTTTGTCATATTTTCAAAATGGTTTATGACCTTAGAATTTTTTGTTTGTTTGTTTTGTGTTCATCTTCACCCAAGCATATTTTTCCACTTGATTTTTTTTTTTAAGAGAGAGCGTGAGGGAGGACGAGAGAGAAAGAGAGAGAGAGAGAGATTGATATGAGAGAGACACATAAATTGGTTGCCTCCTGCATGACCCTGAGAGGGGCCAGGGATCGAACCTGCAACCCAGGTATGTGCCCTTGACTGGAATCAAACCCACAACCCTTCAGTCCACAGGCTGATGCTCTAACCACTGAGCAAAACCAGACAGGGCACCTTAGAATGTTTTTAAATTATCATCCACGTATTTGGACTTCCTTCTCTCAATTACAGGCACTTATTTCCAGATATCTGCTGGAAATCCACTTTTATATCCTGCAGGTTTTTCCCCTTGTCTGAAATTCAACTTTTTATCATCCTTCCCTTGAAAGCTGCTTGCTGTTCCTACTGTGTTCCCTGTCTTGATGAATGATAGTATACTACCATCAATCCTCCTAGAAACTCCCACTTCTTCACTATCCTACTCCTTCCCATCTACCCCATCTAGATCTTTACTTAATCTTTTTGTTTGAATTTAGTTTAGTTTTATAACTGAAGGTTGATACTGTAGTTGAATCTAACAGTTCAAAAATTTTAAACTAAGACACAGTCCTAGTTTGAAAGGAGTTTGATTTTTTAGGAGGAGGTAGATAAACATAAAATGATAATTACAAGTTACAAAACACATCCATCCAAATGCTATCTATTTAGCATTCTGCTAAGTTCAGAGTATACAGAGTTGAAGAAACATACCTGTTTCTTGCCTGCGTAAAACATGTAGGTCATTAGGGTTGAAAACAAGTAATGACAAATTATGGTAAGTACTACTAAAGAGACACAGATGTTGAAACAATAACTGGAGGCATCTATTTGAGATAGGACGGTCAGGGAAGGTTACATTTAAAGTGGTCCCTGAAAGATATGACAGAACTGGGAAAAGATTATTCTAGGACGAATAAAATTTGCAATGGACCTAAAACAGGCAAGACCTTGTGACTTGGGAAAATTGGAAGAATGCGGGTGAAATTAGGAAGGTGGGCTAGAGGTGAAATTAGGAAGGTGGGCTAGAGCTGTATTATGAAGGGTCTTACACATGATAGGAAAGTGTTTGGATTTTTTTCCCAAGTGCAGTAGAGACCTATTGAAGAACTAATGTTATATTCTTAAAAGATCCCTCTGCCTATTGTACCAGCTGAGGAGGGCAAAAGTAAAAAGAGGGAAACCAGCGAAGAGACTATTAGAATTTAAATAGTTGAGAGATGATGGTGATTTGGATGAGGTTGAAGACTTGGGAAAATTGAGAACTAGAAAGGAAGTGGGATATCATAGAAGAGTTTTGAAAAGTGAGAAGTTATAGCCACAGAGATGGAAAGAAAGCCAGGAGATTGTGATATGCATATAAGACAGTATGTGTATTTCAAGGAAGTAGTGGTCAACTGTGTCTGTGCTGAGAAGTAAGATGACTGAAGTGTCAGATTTAGCATTAAGGAGATCATTGGTGACTTTGAAAAGCGTGGACCCATGCACCAAGAGGTCACCAGTTCAATTCCTGGTCAGGGTACATGCCCAGGTTGTGGGCCTAATTCCCAGTGAGGGGCATGCAGGAGGTGGCCAATTGATGTTCTCTGTCATCGACGTTTCTATCTCTCCCTCTCCATTCCTCTCTCTCTAAATCAATAAAGAAAAAAAAAGTGAAATGTATACACAGGGTACTGCAAGGCCAGAGGACAGGGGTGCCTAACTTATTCTGTGAAGTTTAGGTAACACTTCCTGAAGGAGATGACCATTGTTCTGGATCTTAAAGGATGAATAGCAACTTGGGGTATAGAGAAGAGAAAACAAGACAGAGGTAACAATGTAAAGAAATGTAGAGTGATGAACCACAGTTTTAGGTACAACATTAAAGTACCAGGATGGATAGAAGTGGTGATAGATTAAGCTGGAGAGGTAGGTGTGATCCATACTGTGAAGCACCCTGTCTGCCATTATCAAATAACTATTATTTATTGAGCACTTACTGTGTGTCATAGACTGTGTCAAGCCTTTATATGCACTGTCCCATTTAGTGCTTCTGGAAGTCCTCCAAAGTAAGTGTTACTACTTTATCTATAAGGAACAGGGAGTTTAGAAAGGTTAAGTTGTGCCAGCTCTCAAGATTTGAACTGAGGTTGGTCTGAGATCACAACCATACTCTTGACTTCTCTACTCTTCTGCTGTTGTTGAGGAAATTTATCTTTTTAAGTCAAGGGTAGAACAGTGTTTTAGATTTTTTTTAAATTAGGTGGTGACATTTCAATATTGGACTTTATATAACACTCCAGATTTCCATTTTCTCTTGAGAAATTAGAAGATCTGATAGGTGTGTGAAGGAGACATTTGAGGGGGAGGAGAGAAGTAGGAAGTATAGCTAGGTATCTGTTGTTGATAGTCCATGCAACATATCATAAGGACCTGAACTAGAATAATGCTAATAAAAGAGATGAACTGACAGGGCAGATTAGATAAATATAAGGGGTAGAGTGGCAGGTCTTGGTTGGTGGTTGATCAGATGTGGCAAATGACTAAAAGAAAAAAGAAAAAGTCAAGGATCAGTTGTAGGTTTATAGCATGATTAGATGGATGGTGGTACTCCCAAATGAGTTGAGTGCCAAATGAGTTGAGAACTTTAGAGGAAAAGAATAGGGGGAGACAAGATGTTTTGGACATGCTGAATTTGGAGTACCTTTGGGATGTGTAGTATAGGAGAAAATCTTGATCACATACACAAATTTGGGAATCATCAGCATATAGGTTGTAGAAATGACAACAGATGAAGTTTTTCAAGTTCATCTTTTTTTTTTTTTTTTAATAATTTACCTTTATTGATTTTAGAGAGGGAGGGAGAGAGATAGAAGCATTGATGAGAGAGAACATCAATTGGCCGCCTCTTGCATGACCCCCACTGGGGATTAGGCCTACAACCTGGGCATATGCCCCACCAGGAATCGAACTGGTGACCTCCTGGTGTATGGGTCAATGCTCAACCACTGAGCCACACCAGCTGGGCTCAAGTTCATCTTTTAAATCTAGTTTGTCTCGGCCAATATCCCTGATGAACACAGATACCAAAATCCTTAACAAAATATTAACAAATCAGATCTAGCAATACATCAAAAAAATTATTTACCATGACCAAGTGGGATTCATCCCAGGGATGCAAGGATGGTACAATATTCGCAAATCAATAAATGGGATATGCCACATAAACTAAATGAAGAATAAAAACCACATGATCATATCAATAGATGCTGAAAAAGCATTCGACAAAATCCAGCACCCATTTCTGATAAAAATGCTTAGCAATATAGGAATAGAGGGATCATATCTCAACATAATAAAGTCCATATATGAAAAACCTACAGCCAACATTATATTCAATGAGCAAAAACAAAAAGCATTTTCCTTAAAAACAGGAACAAGACAGGCATGTCCACTTTCACCACTCTTATTTAACATAGTACTGGAAGTCTTAGCCACGGCAATTAGGCATGAAGAAAAAATAAAAGGGATCCAAATAGGAAAGGAGGAAGTGAAACTGTCATTATTTGCAGATGACATGATACTGTACATAGAAAACCCTAAAGACTCCCATCAGAAATCTACTAGACTTAATAAATGAATTTGGCAAAGTAGCAGGATACAAAATTAACATAAAGAAATTGACAGCTTTCTTATATATCAACAATGAACTCACAGAAAGAGAAACTAAAAAAAAAAAATCCCAGTTATCATCGGGGCCAAAAAGTTAAGATACCTAGGAATAAACTTAAGCAAAGAAGTAAAGGATCTCTGTTCACAGAAAACTATAAGTCATTGGAAAAAGAAATAGAGGAAGATATAAAAAAAATTGAAGCATATACCATGTTTATGGATTGGAAGAATTAACATCATTAAAGTGTTCATACTACCCAAAGCTATCTATATAGATTCAGTGTAATTCCCATCAAAATACCAATGACATATTTCACAGAACTAGAACAAACACTACAAAAGTTTATATGGAACCAAAAAGACCCCGAATAGCCACAGCAATCTTGAAAAAGAAGAACAAAGTAGGAGGGATCACAATATCAAATAGCAGGTTATCAAACAAAGCCACTGTAATCAAAACATCCCGGTACTGGCACAAGAACAGGTACATAGATCTATGGAACAGAACAGAAAACCCAGAAATTGACCCAAGACAATATGCTCAATTAATATTTGACAGAGGTGGCAAGAGCATACAGTGAAGTCAAGACCCCTCTTCAATAAGTGGTGTTGGGAAAATTGGACAGCTACATGCAAAAAAATGAAGCTAGACCACCAACTTACACCTTACACAAGAATAAACTCAAAATGGATAAAAGACTTAAATGTGACTCGTGAATCCATAAAAATCCTAGAAGAAAATGTAGGCAACAAAATTTCAAACATATACGCAGCAGAATTTTCACTGATAACAACACCTAAGGCAAGAGAAAAAGGAAAAAACACATGGGACTATATCAAACTAAAAAGCTTCTGCACAGCAAAAGAAATAAGCATCAAAATGGAAAGGGAACCCACCATATGGGAGAGCATAATTGCCAATGATACATCAAATAAGGGGTTAATTTCCAAAATATATAGAGTACTCATACAACTCAACAAAAGGAAGACAAAGAACCCAATTGAAAAATGGGCAGAGGACCTAAATAGACACCTCTCCAAACAGGACATACAAATGGCCAAGAGACATGAAAAAATGCTCAGCATCACTAATCATCAGAGATGCAAATTAAAACAACAATGAGGTATCACTTCACATCTGTCAGAATGGCCACCATCAACAAATCATCAAACAACAAGTGCTGGCGAGGCTGTAGAGAAAAGGGGACTCTAGTACACTGCTGGTGGAAATGCAGGCTGGTGCAGTCCCTATGGAAAACACTATGGTGTTACCTCTAAAATTGAACTTCCATTTGACCCAGTGATCCCACTTCTAGGAATATACCCTAAGAAGTCTGAAACACCAATCAGAAAGGATATATGTACCCCTATGTTTATAGCAGCACTATTTACAATCGCTAAGATCTGGAAACAGCCCAAGTGTCCATCAGTAGACGAATGGATAAAAAAGCCATGGTACATATACACAATGGAGGACTATGCAGCTTTAAGAAAGAAAGATCTCTTATCCTTTAAGACTACATGGAGGGACCTGGAAAGTATTATCCTAAGCGAAACAAGCCAAGCAGAGAAAGAAAAATATCACACGATCTCACTTATTTCTGGAGTATAATGAACTAAACAAACTGATGAACCAAACAGACCCAGAGTCATAGAAGTAGGGTACAGACTGACATTCCTCAAAAGAGAGGGTGGATGGGGGAGAGAGAAACCACAGAACTTTTATGCATGTATGCATAACAGATGGACATAGACAACAAAGCTGGGGACAGGGAGGAAGGTGTCATTGGGGAAAAAGGAGAAACATCTGTAACAAAAATGAATAAAAAATAAAAATCTAGTCCTCACAATTTAAATTTATACACTCAGCATATTTTATGTAAGATTTTACAGCAATCTTGATTGGTCTCCTCTGAACCTAATTTTTGCTCCTTTCGATTCTCTGCAAAAGTTTTCTTATTGCTTCTTTGTTTTTTTGTTTTGTTTTTAAATCCTCACCCAAGGATATTTTTTCCATTTATCTTCAGTCAGAGTGGGAGAAAGAGAGAGACGTTGATGTAAGAGAGACATATCAATTGGTTGCCTCCAACACGACCCCAATCAGCCGGGGACTGAACCGCAACCAAAGTACATGCCCTTGACCAGATTCGGACCCTTCACTCTTTGGTCTGCGGGCCAAAACTCCAACCGGTGAGCCAAACCAGCCAAGGCTTATGGCTTCTTATTTATAAACCTTGCATGGCTCTTTTGGCTACAGGGAAATGTGTGTTCCTCAGCATGTTATAAAAATTCTTCTATGATTCAATCCCAGGTTTCCTTCCTAACTACATTCCTCACCACTCTCTCACATGCAGCCTGTGTTCCAACTACCCCAGACTTCTCAGTAGTTCCTCACTGTGCTCTTTCATGCTTCTAGCAAAAGTATAGCCTCTGTAAATTTCCTAGGTCCTGGAGGTAGAGGTAATTGCTTACTCAGTGCTTCCCCAGTAATAGTCTTCTAATTTCTGAGTCATATCACATTGTCTTATAATTATTGGCTTGCATGTGATATGTACTCTCCAACTAGGCCATTGTGTGCTTTGCATGCAGGATTCGAGTCTTGTTGATCTTTGCATGCTCAGCACTGGTATATTAGGTATTTAGATATATGAAATGTTTGTTGTGTGAATTAATGCATGAATGTGGGCTTTAGTGGACTGAGAACTAGTCCTAGTCTACTTTGCTGCCATCATATACTAGGGTATTTCCAAAATCTTCCATTGCCTCTTGCTCATCATTATAAATGTAAGTCAAATTAGTTATCATTGTTACCATCCGTAACGTGATCATTTACTGTGTACCAAGCACTTTTCTAAAAACTTCACATGTACTTAACTCTCATAACACTTAGATGAGGAAACTGAGATACAGAGGAGTTAAGATGCTTACCCATGATCATATGTGTAGTAAATGGAAGAGCTAGAATACAGTTACTGGCTTTGGACTATTATTGAGACCCGTGTCATTGTTCTGCTAAGTAAGCCTCCTTAGCTACCTCAGGTCTAGGATTTTTTTCTGTGGTTTTCTTTTCTTTAATTTCTCCCAACACTCACTATTCCTTTAGGTTTCTTCTCCCACCACCACCACCACCACCACCACCACCACACACACACACACACACACACACACCCCTTTCTACCTTCCTTCTACCAACTGACTCACTTGAGTTATAGTCTTTCCAACTGACTCCAAAGATAGACATATTATGGACCCTTTTAATTTGGTGGGGTTTTTTTAATGGTTTCATGGAAAATTAACAAACATGAGAAAGTTATGAACTGTGAGACCTCTCAGTTATCCTCTCTGGTCCTGACTAGTTCTGGATTCCTTGATGAATGGTAACTAGAATGTATGGAAGCCTCTGCTCTCATCTTTAGCCCCAAAGGTGGCCTTCAGCAGACATCTCTATTTCCATGGAGCCAGGCCCTCCAGATTAGAATTTCCCCTCCTCACAATACCCAGGACTTGCTCCTATAAGTGTGAAAATGAGACCAGAGAAGGACAGAAGTTGTAAGGAATGTCTGATCTAGGACCTACTTTTGTCTACTTGACCTTCATCTTAATAGCATGCATTTTAGTAAGCCTGAGCCTCCTGACTTCAGGATGTTTTCTCCCATCACTTAAGATTCCTACATGATTTCCTTAGGTGTTAAAAAAATAATAACATAAAGCACATTTTATGTTTTTCAGGCTTTAGAAAATTTGCGCGTGTATCTGTGTGAAAAAATCATAGCTGAGAGACATTTTGATCATCTCCGTGCAAAAAAAATACTCAGTAGAGAAGACACTGAAGAAATTTCTTGCCGAACATCAAGTAGAAAAAGGGCTGGAAAATTGTTAGACTACTTACAAGAAAACCCCAAAGGACTAGATACCCTTGTTGAATCTATTCGGCGAGAAAAGACCCAGAACTTCCTGATACAGAAAATAACAGATGAAGTGCTGAAACTTCGAAATATAAAACTAGAACATCTGAAAGGTAAATATCCAAGAGTTCATTATGTACTTTTAAAAGTAAAATGCAAAACAAGACAAATGATCATTTTGCTTTTATGGAAAAGTTTAAGCTTCAGAATCACATTCATTTGCATTTTTAGCCTTACAATAGGATGTCATTACATTGGAAAAGTAGGATATCACTTAATGTTCTGTATCTGTGTTCATTTAATAATATCATTTATAGAAAATGTAACTATAACAAAGCCCCAGTCTACACTGGGTTTGTTTCTAGTCAGCAGAATGTCAGATTAATCTGTTCAAAAGTAACCCCTGAAAATGCACATAACACATGAAGAATAGTATGTAAAGTTTTTTGTGTTTTTTTTACATCCTTACCTGAGGATAGTTTTCCATTTATCTTCAGATAGAGTGAGAGGGAGGGAGGGGGAGAGAAAGAGAAACATCTGTGTGAGAGGGAAACATCAACTGGTTGCCTCCTGCACGACCCCAACCAGGACTGGGGACGAACCACAACCGAGGTATGTGCCCTTGACCAGAATTGAACCTGCGACTCACTGGTCTGCGGGCCAATGCTCTAACCACTAAACCAAACCAGCCAGGGCTGTAGGCAAAGTATTTTAATAAGTCCAAGTCTGATAGTTTTTCTCCTACCAGTTGATCACAAGATGAAGTAATTGGCTGTGTTTATAAGAATCATGTTGTGGTCCTGGCTAGTGTTGTTAGAGCATTGGCCCACGCACCAAAGGGTCTCGGGTTTTATTCCTGGTCAAGGGCACATACCTGGGTTGCAGGTTCTATCCCCAGCTCCAGTCGGGGCACGTGTGGGAGGCAATCAATCAATACATCCCTCTCACATTGATCTCTCTCTCTTTCTCTCTTTAAAAAAAAAAAAAAGGAAAAAAAATATCCTCAAGTAAGGATTAACACACAAACAAAAAAGAAGCATGTTGTATAAATTATACATAACTTGTAATGCTAGAATCAAACTCAGTCTGGCAAAATGAGAGAGGCATGAGAATTGATACTGATGAAGGAATAGCAAATTCATGCCTCCTGTTTCACCCTCTCCCCAGAGCACAATTGGAATGGTGTGTAGAATTGCCTGCACAATCTAAATTCCCCTCTCCCCCTAAACCCCCATCTCACTCTGTCTCTCTCTCCAGAGCACTTAAGTTAAAAGTGAATGTGATGTAGCTCTGTTCCAGCTGCTCCAGGGGCTGAGGATACAGAAATGAGTAATTTAGTGCTCTGCCCTTAAGGAGCTCACTGTCTGTGAGTGCATGCTGGAACATATTGGAAGTTTCCCCTTCTGAGCCATATTTAAGAAAATAGTTTCTATAGCATGGAACAGAAATATTGACTGTATTGTGAAGTTGAAACACTGGTGTGAAAAAATGACATATAAATGTGCTTTATAGACTTTGCAGGTTTTACATAAAATTTGTCAACTCAGAAGATTCTGTGTCTATAGATAGTTATGGGTTGAATATTTGCTAAGCCTGACAGAAAGATAATTTGTGTATGTGGTTATTCTTTCTACACTGAGGTTAGTTGTTGGCCATACCCTTTCTACATGGTAAAATTATTTGGTCAGAACAACTGCCATCATTTTAGTAAATTGTTAAGTTACCCAGCTGGTGTGGCTCAGTGGTTGAGCATCACCCATGCACCAGAAGGTCACATGCCCAGGTTGTGGGCCTGATGCCCACCCAGTGAGGGGCATGCAGGAGGCAGCCAATCGATGTTCTCTCTTACTGATGTTTCTGTATCTCTCTCCCTCTCCTTTCCTCCCTCTCTCTCAAATCAATAAAGAAAAAAAATTTTAAGTACATTGTTAGGTTGAGAACCAGAACATTGCTTAATGGGAAGAGGAGACGTGGGGTCTACTCTTCTTTTCCCATGAAGTAGCCCTGGAATGCTGGGCATGACTTCACTGTTCTGGACCCCAATTGTTCCATCTCTAACAGTGAGAGACTAGCCCAGATGATCTCTCAAATCCCTTCCACTTCTAACCCCTATGATATAAGATTCAGTAATTGGGATTAACTAACTCATAGAATTTTAGTATATGCCCTGTTTAAATTTTATTTTTATTAGATAATGGGGTTTTTTTGTGCCAGTATGCTAAAGAATATTAGTTGTGAAAGCCATTTCTTCATAAAAATTTTAGGCGCTACTTTATTTTTCCCAAGTCCTTTGATACAAATTGAGTTTATACCATGTCATTTGGTTTTCTTGAGACTATCTCCTTACCTAGAAAATGTAAATAATTGTATATACTTTGTAGTTGTTGGGAAAAGCAAATGAAATGTGAAATAGATTGACAGAATTTATAAATTGCTATTTAAATTTTGTGTGGTAACTAGTTTGTATTCTTTAAAATTGGACTCAATGTTTTTTGTTACTTTTTATTGATATCTGAATAATTTCATTGTAGGACTAAAATGTAGCAGCTGTGAGCCTTTTCCAGATGGAGCCACAAACAACCTCTCTAGATCCAATTCAGATGAGAGTTATTTCTCTGAAAAACGGATAGCATCCACTCTCATGTACCATCCAGAAGGAGAATCCAGCACAGCGCCCTTTTTTTCTACTGATTCATCTCTAAATTTGCCTGTTCTAGAAGTAGGCAAAACTGAAAACCCTACCTTCTCTTCAACTACACTTCCCAGACCAGGGGACCCTGGGGCTCCTCCTTTGCCCCCTGAGCTGCAGTTAGAAGAAGGAACTTGTGGAAACTCTAGTGAGATGTTTCTTCCCCTAAGATCACGTGCTCTTTCACGGCAATGATGGTTTACAGCCTTTTAATTTTTTTTAATAATGACTAATATTTGGAAGGATATGAATCTTCTTATAAAACTACTATAATGACTTATTAACACCTGATACATGTCTTTTTAAATGCAATGTAAGCACACTTTGTAAATAGACTTTTTGAATAAAAGAAACTTACTTTTAGGTAACTAAAGTAAATCATGTCGATCATGTACTTCTCAGAATTTTTTTTTCACTTTTATGGTATTCAGTGTTTTTACATTTTTTATGTTTTAAGACCAATTTTAATAGGTAACATTTCTCTATTTAATAATAGAGTCTTAGGCTGGGAATGATGTTTCTCAGTGCATATATGCTGGAAATTTTTACAATCTAATAGTCCTTTCCAGCCATCCAGCAGTCAATTTTCAGGATGAAGTTGTTTCTAATTGGTAATAAAGCCAACCACTGATGGGAAAAACTGCCAGTCTACCAAAAAAAAAAAAAAAAATCTCTTTCCTACTCGGTTTGGCTTACAGACACTTACAGAATTCTCTTTTGATGCAGAGGGACATCTGACAGAGTTTGAGCCACCTAAGATCTCAGTTTGCCAAAATACATTGATTAACCTTACTAATTCATGCTACTTTCTTAAGATTTTCACATTCTTTGCTTTAGCATTTTCATTCCTAAAGAAAAATGTTTACAAAACCCTGGTATTACATGTAATTTGATGAGATTTTTAAAAATTACTTTTTCTGTACTTTTTATTCTCTTTTAATGAGGATTACTGTATGAGTAAAAGTAACTAGAACAAAATGTTTATTTCCATGTGTATATGTGACAGTCTGTTTTTAATACTGTTTGGAATAAGCAGTCCATTAGTTAGATTTGTCTTTGTCATATAACAAGTTTGACTGAATTTATGCATTTACAAATTATGCCCTCATTCTGTTCATTTAAATTATACTGTTTCCTGGTATCCATCTAATAGTTTTCCATTAGTTGCAAAAAGCAGAGATGGAAACGTGCTATTAACAATAAAAGTTTTTAAATTGTAGTGCTGTTTTGGAAGTTTCAAACTTTTCAATGGAAGTAAATATCTAAAACACTTATTTTATATGTACCAATTTTCATAGAAAACATTTCAGGGTGTGAGATCAAGTTGCATTTCTGGATAGACTGATGGAGTTTATCAATTATGAAGAAGACTGGCATATTGGTTTAAAAAATTTTTAAAGACTGGGTGATTTTTGTAGTATAAACATTTTCTAAGGATTATGGAGAAACATGTTTCACGTCCAGTGTAGCATAAAAAAATAGTGGAATGACATTAAAATCTATTTTAGAAGCAGAAATAGGCTTTTCATTTTATTGATTAAAATTTGATATGCAGGTAATTTTTTGTTTGTTTGTTATTAATCCTCACAGAGGATATTTTTCCATTGATTTTTAGATAGAATGGAAGGGAGGGAGGGAGAGAGAGAAATTGATGTAAGAGACACACCAATCAGCTGCCTCCCACACAACCCCAACTAGGGCCAGGGATTGAACCTGCAACCCACGTACGTGCCCCCAACTGGGATTCGAACCCACAACCCCTTGGTCCATGGGCCAACGCACTAACTGCTAAGCCAAACCAGCCAGGGTGACATGCCCCAGGTACTTTTCACAATTTAAATAGGATTTACTCAGAATCAAAGACCACAGTTGAGATATGCTATACCACCTATATTTATAGTTTATACACTGAGTTTCCTTTTAGACTGTTGAATAACTATATAGATAATAAAATCAAGATTTCAACAAATTTAGGCTTTTGGGTTTTCTGAATACTGTAAAGTCATTTTTTTAATTTTATTTTTGTTACAGATGTTTCTCCTTTTTCCCCTTTTGACACCTTCCTCCCACCCAATCCCCAGCATTGTTGTCTATGTCCATGGTTAAGCATACATGCATATAAGTTCTGTGGTTTATCTCCCCACCCCCCAACCCCCTATCCCCTCTTCTGAGGTTTGTCAGTCTGTACCCTACTTCTGTGTCTCTGGGTCTATTTTGTTCATCAGTTTGTTTTGTTCATTATATTCCACAAATAAGTGAGATTATGTGAAACTTGTCTTTCTCTGGTTGGCTTGTTTCACTTAGGATAATACTCTTCAGGTCCCTCCATTGTAGTCTCAATGGATAAGGGATCTTTCTTTCTTATAGCTGCCTAGTATTCCATTTTGTATATGTACCATAGTTTTTTTATCTACTCATATACTGATGGACACTTGGGCTGTTTCTAGGTCTTAGTGATTATAAATAGTGCTGCTATGAACATAGGGATACATATATCCTTTCTGATTGGAGTTTCAGGTTTCTTAGGATATAGTCCTAGAAGTGGGATCATTGGGTCAAATGGCAGATCAATTTTTAATTTTTTGAGGAAACACCACATTGTTTTCCATAGTGGCTGCACCAGTCTGCATTCCCACCAGCAGTGTACAAGAGTCCCCTTTTCTCCACACCCTTGCCAGCACTTGTTTGATGAATTGTTGATGGCAGCCATTCTGACAGGTGTGAGGTGATACTTCATAGTTGTTTTAATTTGCATCTCTCTGATGATTAGTAACATTGAGCATTTTTTCATATGTCTCTTGGCCATTTGTATGTCCTGTTTGGAGAGGTTTCTCTTTTAGGTCCTCTGCCCATTTTTCAACTGGGTTATTTGTCTTCCTTTTGTTGAGTTGTATGAGTACTCTATGTATTTTGGAAATTAACCCCTTATCTGACGTATCGTTGGCAGTTATACTCTCCCATATAGTGAGTTCCCTTTCCACTTTGATGGTTGTTTCTTTTGCTGTGCAGAAGCTTTTTAGTTTGATGTAGCCCCATGTGTTCATTTTTGTTTGTTTGTTTCTCTTGCCTTAGGCATTTTATCAGTGAAAATTCTGCGTGTGATATCTGAAGTTTTGTTGCCTATTTTTTCTTCTAGGATTTTTATGGATTCACGTGTCACATTTTTAATTCTTCTATCCATTTTGAGTTTATTCTTGTGTTTGGTGTAAGTTGGTGGTCTAGTTTTATTTTTATTTATTTATTTTTTTGCATGTAGCTGTCCAATTTTCCAGCACCACTTATTAAAGAGGCCATCTTTACTCCATTGTATGCTCTTGCCACCTTTGTCAAATATTGAGTGTAAGGTATCGGGTCAATTTCTGGGTTCTCTGATCTATTCTATTGATCTATATGCCTGTTCTTGTGCCAGTACCAGGCCGTTTTGATAACAGTGGCTTTGTACTATAATAACCTGATATCTGGTATTGTGATCCATCCTACTTTATTCTTTTTCAAGATTGCTGTGGATATTCAGGGTCTTTTTTGGTTCCATATAAACTTTTGGAGTATTTATTCTAGTTTTGTGAAATATGTAGTTGGTATGTTAATGGGGATTGCATTGAATCTATAAATTGCTTTTGGTTAGTATGGATGTTTTAACGATGTTAATTCTTCCTATCCATGAACAAGGTATATGATTCCAGTTTTTTATATTTTCCTCTATTTCTTTTTTCAATGCCCTGTAGTTTTTTGTGAACAGGTCCCTTACTTCTTTGGTTAGAAGTCAGGTCTTATAGCTACTGTCTTTTTACCTGAGCAGTATAAAAGGGAGCAGGAAGTTTTAGGCTATGGCCTTATCTTGTGTCACTGGGTAAATATGTACACTGTTCACTCTGAAAAAAAAGCAAACCAAGAAGCAAATCGATCCGTAGTTGTTAAATGTAATCTTAGGAGGGATTTCTGAAAGGATAGCTGAATTTAAGCACAAAAAATATACAAAACTTGAGTGCTCCTCCTATAATCCTTACTGTGAATTTGCCATACTATGAAATTTGTTCTTTATTGCAGTGGTTCCTAAATTTTGCTGGCCATTTTAGAAGCACCCATTTTAGGAGGGCTTTTAAAGATCCCGATGCCCAGGCTGTACCCCATACCAATTAAATCTGGATGTTTGGGTGTGAAATCCAGGCATCGGAAGTCTGTAAAGATCTCCAGGTGATTCCAATGGGCAATAATATTTGGAAACTATAGTAGTATTGGGTGCCAAATAACTGTGCTTACTGTTTCCACATGTGTGATCTTTTTCTAATAACAACTCTTCAAGGTAGGTTTTATTTTCAGACCTCTTTTTGTTTTTAACAGATGAGAAACAAACAGGATAAAGTGACTCAAAATCACATAGATCTTTAGGATTAAAATTCAGAATATTCTTGAATATTCTTTTTACAACTCCTTGCTTTCTTATTAGCATTTGTTAAATGGCAGGAAGGTAACTAGAAATTATATATTTTTTAACTCATTAATTCAATAATTGTTGAATACCTATTATTCTATGTGCTGGAGATACAACAATACACATAATGTTCTTGTAGAACTCACATTTTGGGGGAGATAGAAAATAAACAAGGAAAGCCACATCATTCTAGTTGCCATGGATACAAAATTGTGCATGTATGAGCTAAAAAGTAACTTGAAAGACTATTGATAGCATTATGAAGGGAGTCCTGTCAGAGCAGGTAACATGTGAGTTTAGACGTAAATAAGAAGGAAAGAGTCGGTCACATGAAGTTCTTGGGGGGACAGTTCAGGCAGAAGTAACATCCAGGGCAAAAGCCCTGAGGTAGGAATGAGTTACTGAGGACCACATAGGCCTGGAACATAAGTGTGAGGGGTGACTGTGGGGAACCTAAGAGCCTGGATTGAAATGAGGTTAACCTCACAAATAGCAAGGATCAAATATAGAGGGGCTTTACAGACAATTCTCCGCAGTTTGGACTTTCTTCTAAGGTGGGAAACAATTGGAGAGGATTAAACAAGCAGTGATATGATGTAATTTGCGTCTTCAAAGTTCAGTGTGGCTGCTTTATGGATAATGGATTGGAGGAGGACAGGATGGAAGCAGAGAGATCAACTGTTCTTTCCCTTCCTCCTGAGCAGGGTGAGGAAGGCATCTGTAGAAGCGCTGTCTGGTGCAGTATGTCAGATCCAACAGTAGGGTAAGCAGGGCATTCATGTGAGGGAAGGGCCAGCAGCGATGATGGAAGATTGGCTGCATACTGGGGGGTTGATCAAATAAAAACATATGTAGGCTAATGGGAGCCAGATTTCTCAATGTTGGAAAATGGAGTTACAAATATGGAAAGAGAAAACAAAAAGTAACCCTACTACAAAAAGTAGTATTGGATTAAAATTAGAGTGTCAGTGTGAACTCCAGGTTTTTGATAGATATAAAAATAAATACACTCTCCAACTCTGTCTACTGAGAGAACCTGGAACATTAACACCTCATTAGCAGAGAACACACTAAGCATGGCTTCTAAATAGTCTCCATTAAAAAGAATCAGAGCTCGTTGGCAAATGTCTAATTCCAGGGCAAAGTATAAAATAAGCCTAGAATATCTTGTGCCAGAAAGCAGACAAGTGTTCAAAGAATGGTGGGGCATGTCCAAAGGGCACCAAAGCCATCTTGAAGGGGCTCCCACAGGCCAAATCTGGGACAATTTCAACAGATTTGGGAGTCACTAGCATTAGACAGTTAATGCCATAAAAAGGGATAGGCTGATTTGGAACTTTCTAACACCCTGTAGAAAAATGTTAGTATTGCTGAAAGATGCTATAATATGTTGGGAAACAACGTGTAAGGGCCATACAGAGCAAAGCAGGCATGCAAGGAGGCCGAGGATGAGAAACTAGAGAGTTTGGAGGCCCCAGCAGTGATGGGATGCAATCCAGGTGGAGTTTCATCAGAGAGGCTGTTCAGAGTGTGCTGGAATGAGGTCAACCAGGAAAGGACTCCATTTGTGACTTGATGAGTCCACCACCCATACAGGCCTTCCATGACGACTGAGGGAAGCACACGAGGGATTTTTTTCTGTTCCGATGAGGAGATGCAGCAGGATCAGGAAGAAATACTGGTTTTCTCTGGCCAAGGGCTTAAGTGAGGTGGCAGTGAAATGACACAATTCTTGGCTCTTTTGTGCCCTTAATACATTCTTACTGAATGCTGAAAGTTTGGTTGGGACCACTGACGGAGGACCTGTCTCTTCTCAGTGCGCCTCAGGCAGGAGGGAGCAAAAGCCCCTGCTTGGAAATATTCCCAGCCTCTTCAACCTCATTCAGCCGGAGAGCAGTCGCGCGGCACAGCCGCCAGGGGGCGCAGCCCCCGAGATGATCTGCGAGACCTGGGGCGGAGCCAGCTGCGGGGCGGGACCTAAACCAGTTTCCGGCTTCCGGTGGAGCCCTCGGTCGTCGCGCGTCGCCGTCATGGCAGCCGAGGAAAAGGACCCCCTGAGCTATTTCGCAGCTTATGGGAGCAGCAGCTCAGGCTCCTCGGACGAGGAGGATAACAGCGAGCCGGAGGAGACAAGGCGCAGGGCTGCAGATCCGGCGAAGTCGGCGGGCGGCGGTGGGAACAAGACGGAGAAGCGGCTGCCGGGACCCGACGAGCTGTTCCGGAGCGTGACTCGTCCGGCCTTTCTCTACAATCCGCTCAACAAGCAGATAGACTGGGAAAGGCACGTCGTCAAGGCGCCTGAGGAGGTGAGGTCCCCGACCCCGATTCTCGAACTTGGCCCCGGCCTCCGCCCCCTTCCTCCTGAGCCGTCTCCTGGGGACCGGAAGTCCGTTCCCCCACACGCAGTCACCCCCTGCGGGATGCCGCACCACCCCCTCCCACCTCCAGCCCTGGGGAGCCCGGGCCCCCTCCCCCAGCCTGGTGGGTGTCAGATCGGACCCGCAGCCCCCGCCCATTTGTGAGGAGACCCAAACCTCCGCGCTCGGGGCCCCGACCTGCGTGGCCAGGACTAACGGTGGTGACTCCCCCCGCCCCCTCGCTGCAGCTTCTCCCCGAGACCCCTTCCCTTTGACGCCGAAGTGCCTGCGGTGCTGCCTCCAAGACAGTGTCTGCTGCAGCCTCCTGAAGGGGTCAGCCTTGGCGTAGTATCTCTGAGACTGGATTCTTCTTTGGTAATTAAAAGTTATTAGCTTTATTCGTATAGGGAACCCTTTGGCTTTTCACTTAACAGTATTGTGATTTTGATGGAAAAAAAAAAATGTATCTTTAAACTTAAAAAAAAAGTCAGCCTGAACAATAATCGAACTGCAGGGAGGTGCATGTGCCCATACCGATTATGGAACCTCGGTTCGTCACAACGCTTCTTGATGTGTTTGCTTAACAGCCTCCAAAGGAATTCAAAATCTGGAAGTCAAACTATGTGCCACCTCCGGACACCTACACTACTGAGAAGAAACCTCCCCCTCCAGAGCTGGATATGGCAATAAAATGGTCTAACATATATGAGGACAATGGTGATGATGCCCCCCAGAACGTTAAGAAAGCTAGGCTCCTGCCGGAAGGGGAGGAGACAGTGGAATCAGGTAAGGAGAGTCAGACTGGTGGCAATACCTTTTGGCCCCTGTGATGAGTTTAAGACGATCCAGATAGTTAATGAGTGAAATCTAAATATTGATTACGATGGTCTTTGAATACTATTTACTGTGTTTTTGAAAAACATAGTATACACTCAGCTTCGAAGCTCTGATATCGCAACCAGTAGTATTTACTCTACGTTAGAGAAAGATCATAAATTATTCAGGCTTTAAAGTGAAATCTCTGGTATCTCAAGCATTAGTATATTTGACATATGGTGCCTTATTATTAGAACAGTAGGAGTTAATCCTTGGATTCTTTCTTGTGATTGCAGCTGTGAAGGCTTCATTTTATAGTAAAGCTTTAGAGCCAAAATTAGTGTGACAAAATGGATTTAACTGAGTATTACTATGTAGTAATTACAAATAGTAATAGGAAGATAATGACTTAGTTGCCTTGCCTTTGTTCATGTCATAATTTCATCTCTTTCTTGGATATAAGTAATCATAGTAATCTGCTGCCACACTTTTACTCCCCACTTGCATCCGTCACACTGCAGCTAATGTTCACTTTCTAAAAATCATACCTGATTGTGTAACTCATTTGCTTCATACTCTTCACCAACAGCATAGAGTCAAAGCCTTCTATGATAGGCTCTGCCTTTCTCTTCACTCATTTCACATGGCCCCCTTTCTAGCACTTTAAGATCTTAAAATTCAAAACTGAATAGACCATGCTATTGCAGTTCCATGCCTTTCGATATATGTTGCACCTGATCTCCTCTTTGGGTGGTAAACTCATTTACCCTTCAAAATCCAACTCGAAGAAGAAAATCTCAGATATCACCTCCCTCTAATTATTTGCTCCTCTGTACCTGTGTGTTCTAATGCTGTTGATTGCATTTACTACCTTTTATGTTTATTAGTTATTCACAGTCTGTCTCTTTTATGAAAAGGAGTTCCTTAAACAGCAGAGTTCAGGTCTTACTTATGTTTGTATCACAGTTTGTAGTAGACATTTGTAACTATTCAGTGACCGTTGTTGAACTGGACTAAATATTTTGAACTATCTTTTTTTAAAGAGTTTTTTAAAATTGATTTTGAGAGAGAGTAACATTGATATGAGAGTAGAACATCAATTAGGCTGCCTCCTGCATGCCCCCTACCCAGGGGTCCAGCCCAGAATTCCTCAACTGAGCCACACCGGCCAAGGCTGGACTATTATTCTAATGAAACTGTGCCATTTTTGTTAAACAGATTTCTGATCTTTCTCCCATAACACAAGGGCTATCTACTTAGCTCCTTTTACAACCATGCAGAGTTTTGTTTAAGAGAAAGGGTAACTAACTAGTAGTTCTTATTTCAGTTTCGATTCTACATGGCTTTTTTATTTCTTCCACTGATTTTTCATTGTGTATTAGCAGTCACTAAGGCACATCTTCAGTAAATGGCATCTTTTTGGAGATGCAAAATGAAGGGGGCATTTAAAATACCTCTTATATAGTATTTTATATCATTAATAACACTTTTGCATAAATGCTCTGATCTTTACAACCCTTGTGAAAATATAGGGGAATGTGGAAATGAGAGCTTGTGTGCCTTGTCCAAGGTCACAGAACTAGAAAATGGCAAGCTCTAAGGTAGGTACTTCTACAAATTCAGGTCTTTAAATGGAAATAATATGCATTATTAAGCTGGAATTTAGCTTCTTGATGTTTTTCAAGCTAGAGTGCTTAAGAAATACTCTGTAGGATGAATGGCATTAAGGCCACTAGAGTTGATATTCTAACTGAGGTACCATAGGCAGGTGCTCTCCTTTGTTCCTTTATGGAAAGGACAGGATTATATATTCAGGACAAACAAGTGGAAAGAATTAGATTTTTTTCCATCTTGCCTATTGAGTTCAGATAGAAGGAATTCCAAATATGTGGAAACAGTACTGCCATTGCCATAATTTCTGACATTTTAATTCTGTGACGGTCCTCTATCAGAAAGTGAATGTTAGCAGTATCAAAAAACAAAAGGACCCCACAACACTCAACCAGTTTTTTGTTTTTGTTTGTTTATTGATTTTAGAGAGAGAGGAAGGGAGAAGGAGAGAGAGGTAGAAACATCGATGAGAGAGAACATTGATTAGCTGCCTCCTGCATGCCCCCCACTGGGGAATTTGGCCCACAACCTGGGCATGTGCCCTGACCCAGAATCGAACTGGTAACCTCTTGGTGCATGGGTCGACACTCCACCACTGAGCCACACTGGCCGGACACACTCAACCAGTTTTAAAGCTGGATCACAAGATTTAAAGATAATCCTGAAATCTATCTTCTTTTTATAATACCTTCCTTTTTTGAATTTTTTTTTCTATTTCACAGTCGTAAAATAAGTTTACCTGACGTTGTTACCTCTATTTTTTTAATTCATAAAATACCTTGTACTAAGAACTTCACACTCTTAAATTAAGTTTTTAGATTATCAAATTACTGTATTTACTTTTTCTTCTCATTTTCTGCCCTTTTGCTCTTTTTTGCCAGTTAACTTCTTCCAGATATTTTTAAAGAGGATCTGGGAAAGATTCAAAACTGGTTATTGAGTCTTGCTACTTATTTGCATCTGTTGTTTAGTGGTTGTAAAATGTAGATCAGTGAGGCTTAGGTAATAATTGTAGCTTTATTAACATTAATTAATCATGAAAGCTTAGCTCAAGTAGCTAATGCTTTCTTTTTTAATTTAGAAAATTAGTTTGTACTAATAATTGAAACTTACTTACCTCGAGTGACATGAATTCCATAATAGAAAATTAGTTTTCATACTGGTGTATCTGGAGCATATGGCACAGAGTAGTCAAGTTGATGAACAAACACTTCAGGGTTTTGGAGATTTTTATTTTGTTTTGTTTTGTTTTTAATCCTCACCCGAGGACATTTTTACATTTATCTTCAGATTGAGCGGGAGGGGGGAGGGGGTGAGGAGAGAAACATCGAAGCCACCCACACGACCCCAGCTGGGGCCAGGGACAAACTGCAACCGAGGTACATGCCCTTAGCAAGAACTGAACCTGGCACTCTGGTCCACAGCCCTGCACTCTAACCGCTGAGCAAAACCCACCAGGGTGGGTTTTGGAGTTTTTTCCTGCTCTGGTTTTTAAGGCAATGCCTTGTTTTGTCACTAGATGGCATTAGCTCTTCTGTTCAAATAGGAACTTATTTTTCCAGCCTCAGTAATATGTGTTTTTGTTGTTATTCTGTAAATGTACTTGTAACAAGTGGTGGATTAAAAGCACAAATGTCTTAAGATCATTTTTAATATATGTTAACAGTAGATTTTCTAGTAGTTAGAAAGTAATTTTCATTTTTATATTAGTACTGAAAACTATCTAAAGTTAAGCATGATGACAGTTAAACTCCAATTAAAAAACAAAGGTTTGGCCTGGCTTGTGTGGCTCAGTGAATTGAGCATCTTCCCATGAACTGAGAGGTCCTGGTTCTATTCCTGGTCAGGGCACATGTCCCGGTTTCAGGCTCAAACCTCAGTAGGAGGGGGTGTGCAGCAGGCAGCCAGTCGATGTTTTTCTCTCATATCGATGTTTCTATCTCTCTCTCTTCCTCTCTCTCAAAGATCAATACAAACTTTTTTTTTTTTTTTTAAAGATTTGGTTTATTTGAGCTGTATGTAATATTAGTTAGTTTTTAGAGCAAGGATTTTTGTGTATACACAATAAACTACTGATTAAAACTTTAGTTTGTAAAATTCCTGTGATGATTTGTTGATCTGAATTGTCTTTTATCTTACTGTCTACATAAATCCATAGTGCTTTATGAAATGTATGAATAACATCTCCATGCTGTGTTTGAGGATAAAGGAAGATGAATCACCTGCTCTTGATACTAATTATTGTCTATATCAACAAAGGAGATTATTCTGAGTATGGTACAGGTAGCAGAAGGAAATTGAAGACTTAAGGTTTTAAATATATTTCCTCCATAGTTTATGATCTGATATCAGTGGCTTCCCCAATTTTTTAATATAAAGGATCCTTTCAATATTAAAATAGTTTATAGACCACTATATGAAAGTTGTTGAACTGTATGAGTATGTTGATTGAGAAAAAGTACTATGAATTTAGTAATGTGCTTAAAATAAATTTGTGTTTTATAAATCATATCTTCTACATGTTATTTTTTCCATCTGTGTAGTGTTCTTGAAATAAAGCCACATAGTTGTTCAAGGAAATGGAAAAGCTACCCTGTTTTATTGAAACATGCAATTGGGTATTTTAAGTTGAATAAAGGGGTCCACTTTTTCATTTTTAACATTTATATTAATTGGAATTTTTCTGTGGTTCCAGACATTAATAACATTTTTAAAAAGTTATAAAGGACATAGTTTTAATGTAAGGTTCTTCTCCATATTCCCTCTTCAAAATTCTTCACAATATGAAGGATAGAAGATGTCTGTTTTTCTATTACCATTGGAATATCCTCACCCTCCAGGGAATGGGAGTGTGAGGTTAGGGGGAGTAGAACTACATAGGACATAATTGAAAATACAGTTTCAGTGAAGCATCTACCTGTGATTATTTTTTAATGCAAAATGTCGGGTTCGGGCATAAGATAAGGAGGGTATTTCTTGGGGAGAGAAAACAGATTGGAATGGAAAGAATAGCTGATAGCCACGTAAGTAACGTTATGATTAAATTTATTTATTTGTTTTTGTAAAATAAAAAGTGTGTTCCATTTGTACAAATTGTAAGTAACATGTACACAATATGTATGCTGTAGAATACATGGGAATAGCTTTTTCAGAACAAATTTGATTGTCTTATTTTAAGCTACCTTAAATATAGCACTAAAAGGTGAATTTTGTATAACACAATTGAAAAAATTCCTTTTTTACTTGCATTTTAAAATCAGTTCTAAAAGTCAATATTTGGTTTTGGGAAACTTTGAAAGAAACATTAGTTCAGGAGGATGATATTGTTATAAAGTCAATGAAATTGTAATGCTTTTTAAAAATTACTGATTGAAATTTTCTTTTCTGTTTAAAGACGATGAAAAAGATGAGCATACTTCTAAAAAACGCAAAGTAGAACCAGGAGAACCAACAAAGAAGAAAAAGTAGAAAACAAAAAATGACAATTTTGGACTGGAAAACTTACTGAAATGGTTTCTTTGGCAGATAAGTTGATACTGTAAATTATTATGAAATATTATCTCCATGAAAGTACATGTTAATTACCTAATAAGTATTGCTGCAGGAACTTTCCACTGTAGAATTCACTTTTTATTTAAAACTTATATGTATTTAAAATTCAAATGGTGACTTGTGATTGTGAGGTTGACAACACTTGGAAGCATTCTTGCTATCACAGAATTGGTGACATGTTTTGAGATTTCTGTCACATGTTGACATGCCAGTGTTCTATGAACCTTTTATAAAGGAATATATTTTTAAAGTAAATATATTGTAATGTACTGTGAACTTGTAGGGTGCTTTTCAACAGTTTGTACAGTGTAAATAGATCATGGAAATAAAATTACTTATTCAATGTTACCATTACTGCATAACATTAACATTTAAATATCTGTGACAGATACTCTTTGCCATGTGATCTTAATAGTAGGTATTGCCATTTAGGGAGTGCCTCCTATGTTCCAGGTGCTTTGTGCAGACATTACCTGTGATCCTCCAACAGCCTAGTAAAGCAGGTATTAGTAACCTCATTTTATAATAAAGAGTGATTAACAGCTAGTGAGCTGTGAATTTGGGATTTAACTCAAGACACTTGAACTCTAATACCATCACACCACCATCAATCCACCAATCAAAATTTAGGAACTGCAATTGGCATCTTTTCCAGGTACTCTTCTGTGCTAGTCAGTAGAGATCCTCTCCTCACTTAATTGTATTACTGCACTTATCATATATGCCTTATATTATGAAAATTCATTGATTTCCCTGTTAAATAGCAAGTTTGCTGAAGATAAGGATCTTCTACAAAGTTGCCAGATGCCTCAAATAAAAATACAGGACACTCAGTTAAGTTTGAATTTTAGATAAACAACAAATAATGTTTTAGTGTATGTAATATTTAAGATCTATTTATACTAAAACTTAGTTTTTCTGAAAATCAAATTTAACTGGGAATCTTGTACTTTATCTGCCAACCCCACTTCTACGTGTTTTCTCTATCCAGCTTCTATTTTAATGCTTCGCATATAGTAATAATCAAGAAAATCAACAAGGTTGTAGTCAGGAAGATAATCTTTGATTTGACTTCTACAATCCAAAATGCAGTACTATTAATTTGTAACATTTTGAACAATAAAAAGGAGAAATATACTGCATCAGTCTTTCCAGGATTCTTATGCCTTTGAAAGACAATGTTAATTACAAGACTTTGTGCATTCAATGTATAAGAAACGACATTAGTTCTTGGGTTTTAAAAAATCCCCAGTCCAGTTGTTTACCTCCATATTGGAAGCCAACATTTGAAAAATTACAGAATTTGTTTAGTTGGGAACATGATCAAGTAGATTAAAATTTGTAAGTCATTAAAAGTATGCCAGTCTTGGTGTTTTATGGACTAAGGAAGGAACATAACAGTATGATGGTCTCCAACTTACAAAAACCAATTCTACAGCTGCTTATTCTCTAGGTTTACAAATGAATGAATCCCAAAATTGGAGTAATTGACAAAGCAAGAAACTTGTTTAAGGTTGAAGTCTCGGTGAATAATTTGGAGAGCTATAGAATTATATACTAGGGGGTGGCATCAGCTGGTAAAGCATGACCCCAGTGTGACACCAAGATAAATTAAGTAGAAGTATAATTATGAGGCAAAATGTGTAGTATTGGTGGAGCAGATAGCTCAGAAGTTACTGAAATATCACAAGATTAAGAAGTTAGCATGAAAGCAAACCATAACCCCACAAGTAAAAAGCCCAGGAAGCCACTCTGTGAAAGTCTTTTTAATCTCTTTTGTTCAACTCCCATTACACCCATTAGTTTAAGACAGAACAAAAGCTCTGCTCCAGTCCCAGGGGTGCTTTCAGCTTGCTTTCTAGAAAACAGAATGGAGGGGAAACACTCCTTTTTTTTTTTTGAGGGATTGTATATTTTGATATTTTAGACAGGGCAGGTTGTGGCTACTCTTGTGAGATTATTAAGCAACTGCTGGGAGTTGTGCACCTAAGATATATTGGTCAAAGTAGTTTCATTTGGGAGGGGGAAGAGAGGGTTTAAGGAAGGAGGCTGAATATTTTGGAGCAGTTTCAGCCATTTGTATCTTGGGTTTCTTTTCAAACTATGGCCAATTAATGGAAGGGGAAATGAGCTTGCTAATGAATTGCTTCACCTTCCACAGAAGTATCCCTGGTTGGAAAGTGGACTTTCGTGGCACTTTATATCTGTCACCACAGTAGAGAATGGGTTCTTTTCCCCTTCAGAGGTGTCTTGGGAAGATACTTGTTTGGTGTCCATGTGGGTACTGAGGTAGGGAGCTGTTTGGTTTAGCTAGAAAAAATCCAGTGAAAGACCTTAGAGAAATCCATGTAGATAAGGAAAGACCACTACCCAAATTGTTTCATTATTGAGAATCAAATCACTTGGTATTTCTGATTGTTTCTTCATCTTCAAGATAAGGAAGTTATGTCAGGCATTAAGTACTTTTTTTTTGTACAAGGATAAAATTTGTGAAAAGAACTTAAGTATGTGTGGGCCATATTTTAAAATTTAAGGTGTAAATAGCTTTATGGAGTTTTGTAGAAAACACTCTAATTGGAATCAAAGAGCGTTACTGAAAAAATTGACTCTACTTTTTAGCCATTAAAATACTAATATCAACTTATTTGCAAACTTGCAACTTTCTTATCCTAATTCTTATTGCTGTGTAGTGCTTTTGAGTTCACCGAGTTCAATCACATAGTATTTTAATTTTCAAAAACCGAATGAGGTTGGTTTTATCATTTCCGCATGAGAGAATGGATAATTAAAATATGGGCTAACACGGGTTTGGATATGAACTATATATAAACATGGTGCCACATGATTAAGTTAGATACAAAGCCCTCCCAAAGATATTTGCAAAATGTGATTATTTTTACAGTTATCTGAATGAACTTAGCAATTCAATTTGATACATCAAAACTGGGGAATTTAGCCCTGGCCAGTTTGGCTCAGCGGTTAGAGCGTCAGCCTGCGGTCCGGAGAGACCCGGGTTCGGTTCCCGCTAAGGGCACGTACTTCGGTTGCAGTTTGTCCCCGGCCCTGGTTGGTCGTGCAGGTGGCAGCCACTCGATGTGTCCCTTCACGTCGATGTTTCTCTCTCTCCCTTCCTCTCTCTCCCTCCCACTCTTATCTGTACAAAAAAAAAAATGGAAAAATATCCTCGGGTGAGGGAAAAAAAAAAAACTGGTGAATTTAAATCTGTAACTAGACTTTAAAATGTATCATTGGCCCAGCCCACGTGACTCAGTGGATTGAGCACCGTCCCATGGACTGAGAGGTCCTGGTTCAATTCCAGGTCAGGGCATGTGCTGGGGTTGCAGGCTTGATCCTCAGTAGCAGGTGATTAGGAGGTAGCCGATCGATGTTTCTTTCTCACATTAATGTTTCTATCTCTCCCCCTCTCTAAAAAATCAATAAAAACATTTAATTTTTTAATTTTTTCTTTATTGATATTAAAGAGAGAGGAAGGAAGAGGGAAAGAGAAATAGAAACATTAATGAGAGAGAACATTGATTGGCTGCCTCTTGCATATCCCCTACTAAGGATCAAGCCCACAACCTGGGCATGTGACTTGACTAGGAATCGAACCAGTGACCTTTTGGTGCATGGGTCAATGCTCAACCACTGAGCCACACCGGCCAGGCAATAAAAACATTTTTAAAAAATAAAAAATGTATCATTGGTGGTATTTTGGGTTTTAGAGTTTTGTATTCACACAGAACGATCCTCTGCTTTACCCTTCCATTATCATACCAAAGTGCCAGGCGGTCCTACAAAAAGATGTTAAATTTCCAGGAAATGTTTTGGACTTTCTTAAATTGTAAAACTTTCTCTCTTGATCTCCTTCCACTTAGATAGTTTTCCCAATTTGAAGCATTGTGTCTGTATTTTAATGCAGGAGGAAAAAAGGCACCAGAAGCGTTTGTATGTATGTTCCTGAGATGGGATTTTTACCCTGTTTTGTTTATTGACAAGAGCAATGCCTGGCACATAGTGGGCACTCAGTATAACTGCTAAATGTTACGGTAAGCTGAATTCCTCACCCCAGGCTTAGGGGTGATCCAGCAGAGCTTTGTGTTTTCTTATATGGGTCAATAAATCTTAAAATTTTAAACCAGTTTGAGTTAAGTTTTCTGTCATTTTCTGTCAAAAATATCCCAATTGATGTGAACTCTTCAACTCTTCTTACTCCTTCGGTTTCTTCCAGGGCCCCATGCTATCCTGGTTCACATAGATCCCTCTTATCTGGCAGCTGTCTTTGGACGCCAACGAAGCTTATGTTGTTCCCTTCTCATTCTCTTCCCTGGTTCTTGATTCCAGCCAACTTTCAGCCCCAGATTTGCATATTCCTCGGGTCTCAGGTACCCTCATGTACCAGCTGCCCAAAACCAAGTACATTGTGTCAAAACCCTTATCGCCTCCCTTATTTCATTTCTGCTTCATAGCATCACCATCAAACCAGAATTTTGCCCTCTGCCTCACTTCCGGTCACATAGGTTTTAGTCAGTAAACCCTGAAGTTTCTCTCATTCTCACACACCTCAATCCCGCTCTGGTGAGTCGTTTACAATTCCTCAGATACGCTATTAGTTTCATAGTTCTGTGCCTTCTCTTGTACAGTTGGCTTGGCCTCGCCTTCACCTGTGTATTTATCGAGCCTCCCTCTTATCCTCCAAGAAGCAGTTCAAGCATTCCCTTCTTTGTATACCTTGTTCTGTTAATCTCTGAATGGACCTGTGCATTGCTTTCCCCCATTCTCAGTACTAAACGAATAGCCAACATTTACTGAGTACTTGCCAGGCGTGTTCTTGGTGCTGTACATGTATTAACTCATTTAATTCAATGCGGTATGTGCTGTGACTAGCCCTACTTTTCAGGGGAGGAAACGGGTGCAGAGAAGTTTAGTGATTTGCTCAAGGTGCTGGAGCTGGGAAGGGCAGGCACGCTGGCTCCAGGCCCCTTGGCTTCCTCACTGGAGGAGAGGAGGGAGTGCCTGAATGAGCCAGGAGTTGGTTTATTAATTCCTGTCTATTTCATTCAAAGAATGTCTTACCTGTAGAAGGTACTCAGAATACAAATATTTGGATAAGTAGTGAATCCAAGACCAGTTCACCAAAGGTGCAGAATTTGTTGAATACACCAGAAACATCTTTCAGATACATTAGATTGATGTAAAAGGAAAGTCAATATGTAAATGTTTTAAGAGGATTAATGCATATTTCAATGACTTCATAGCTTAATTATCACATATGTGGAGTGGTTTTGATCGAAAGCCTTAAAGCAATAGGGCTGAGAATATATCCCTGTTCCTTTAAAAATATTTTTTAGCTTTTCAATGGTTTTTAAAGCAAAGTGAGAGCTCTGAGCCATATATTTTGCCTCAAATTTTATTGGCTTTTCTCTAACATTTCAGATTATGGCTTGAGTTTAGCACCAGGGCATGGGAAATCCTCCAGAAGTCCCTGGGTACAGCCTTCCCGTAACGGAATGTCTTCTCTGATCTTTCCCTCTCTTTGCTAGGCTCACAGACAAGCCCATGAAATGACAGGTTTACAGGCTTGATTTGAAAAGTCATTTCCTGTGTGCCTGTAATATTTTGGTACCCAGGGCGTGGAACTGTTCCTGTCCTTGTGTTTACCATTTTCTGAAAAAGGAGAATAAACAGGATTTGGTGCATATCATTGAAGCAAAAGTGCAGCTCTGTTCCTGGTATAATTACCTGTCTTTGTTTTTAAATAGGACCAAAATTCTAGCAACTTTCCCAAGAACACTGGCTAGTTTGCATTAACATTTTAAATTTAGAATTCCTGAAACTGCGAGGAAATACAACCACCTCTTCCAACTAAGGAGGTGACCTGCCTGCCAGCAAAGCTGTAAGCAAATCCATTCAGACAATTCTCTTCTGAGGTTCACATGCCGGAGGATTTTAAGACCCTGTTCCTAGATTTTGCTTTTCTGCAGTTTGGACACACACACACGAACATACACACACATCTCCGGAGTTTTTAACAGTCAACAGAACCTCCCGCTCCTCTTTTTACCACGTTCTACCTTCAGGCCTTCCCCTCCAATCCTCTCCTTAACTACAAAAAGTGGCCCAAAAACCTTAACAGTAAAATATCTTCCATAACATCTGGAATCCATATGTCAAATCTGTAAGGCATTCACTCCTGAATTTTTTTCTTCTCATTTAGGCGTAACGACTTGAGCCAAGTACCGCCTGCCCCTGCCTCCCTCCATACCAAACTAATTAGGGCAATTACCTGAGCCATCCATGGCTACAGGTCTGTTAAAGCCTGTTATTGAGGTTAACAAATGAGAGGGTTAATTTCTCTAGACTGTTCCATAGTTGGGGAAGAAAGATAAGCCCTTACAACGTAGGGGTGCTTTTGAGTTTTCAAGCTTTTTTTCTCTGCACCAAGCTGCCACCCTAGAGAAGGGCTTACTTGGGATTCCAGACTGTCTGGAACCCTGAGGTAAGTGACTTAATTCTGAACTGAAGCCCTGGAATTCACTACCACTCAGGAAAGAGGCTCCCCCAGCCTTGGTGCTTCAACTGTGGAAAAAAGGTGTTGATACTTTTTTTTTTTTTTTTTTTTTAAGAAATAGGATTGCCAGGTAGTAGCCTCTGGCACCAACTCGGCGATGCTGACTTAAAACCTTAGACAGTAAGTGGTATTTTCTAGATCATTTGGCCAGGGCCCTGTGTGTTTTTAATTTATTTACAAGTTGCTGAATCCATCTAGCCACTCTATCTAAGTATAAACTGCCCAGGTTTTTCCATCCTTTTTCCCCTTCTGTTTCCACTGTACCAGCATCGAGGCTCTCTTGTGTCATCTTGCTGGGCAGGTGAACCAGGGTTCCTAATTCAGGCTTCTGCCTTGGAGGTTTTTTCAGATCACACAGCCTAGTGTTGATTTTTTGTTTTAAGGCCCAGGAGTTAGTTGAAGGGAAGATTAAATTTTCTTAGCATTACTATAATTTCAGCTAATTTTTCCAGCAGGGGTTTGTGAAGATGTGATAAACAGTGATGGAGAACAGGTTTTCTTTTTTTTTTTAATCCTCACCTGAGGACATTTTTTTCCATTTTTTGTTCAGATAGAGTGGGAGGGAGAGAGAGAGAGAAACATCAACGTGAAAGGGACACATCAAGTGGCTGCCACCCACACGGCCAACCAGGGCCAGGGACAAACTGCAACCGAGATACACGCCCTTAGCAGGAACCGAACCCGAGTCTGTCTGGACCGCAGGCGGACACTAACCGCTGAGCCAAACCGGCCAGGGCGAGAACAGGTTTTCAGTTGCCTCATAGAAGTGCCAAAAAAAAAATCTGTATGTCACAGAAGCACAGAAAACAAAAACTTAAATGTTTTCTTTACTACAAATATATTTAGCCCTTTCAAGGACAGGAATAATGTTTACACCAAAAATACAATAACAATTCATTATATTTAAGTCACGTTGTTTCTATGAATTCTCATAATATGAATGTTAGATATAAATTCTTATAATAGTAATGTTCATTTAAAAATTTCTCTGATTGCCCGGCTGGTGTGGCTCAGTGGTTGAGCATCGACCCATGCACCAAAAGGTTGCTGGTTCAATTCCCGGTCAGGGCACATGCCCAGGTTGTGGGTCAAATCCCCCAACGGGAGACATGCAGGAGGCGGCCAATCGATGTTCTCTCTCATCAGTGTTTCTATCTCTCTCTCCCTCTCCCTCCCTCTCTCCCTAAAATTAATAAAGAAAAAAAATTTTCTCTGATTATGAAAATGATACATGCTCACTGTAGAAGTTCAGGGAAAAAAATACAAATCACTATTAGCAGTGAAATCCACTGTTAACATTTTGATATACAATATTTCTTAGAGTGTTTTTTCTATGCATATATATACATTCTAAACAATAAGCATTATCAATTCCATTAAGAGTTCTTCAGAAACCTAAATTTTATTTTCATTTATCTACGGGATATTTAAATAATTTCCATATTTTTTACCACTATAAATAACA